TTACACTTAAAACTTAAATCTTAGAAGTGGATCACTCCTCCATACTAGTCCATAGGCTTCTTGAGGGATTGAAATTTGCTGGCCTCGAAAAGTTATTAAAGACATCATTAAAATAGTCCAAGTGACTTCAGTGGCTCAATCTTAACTTTATCAAGCGACGAGAACACATTTGTGCGCAAAAAACAACAAAGATAACAACTTTATTTCAACTGTTCATTTACTTCTCATCTCGTCGCTTGATAAAGTTAAGATTGAGCCACTGAAGTCACTTGGACCCTTCTCAGTTGTAGTGGAGAATGGGGAGCCCATTTCCAAAGGGGCGTCACCAACGGATGCTCTGAGTGCAATTGGAGAGACCTAAAACCAATCAGAGCTATCGTCATCGTCTAAGGCCCGCCTCAAGGTTTGTGATTGGTGCCTCTATTTGGAAAAATTGGAAATGGGCTTGAATGTGCTCTTGGGCCAGACTGACTTGCAGAGCGAATCTCAACTTTGCCGGAAGTTTGTCTGGGTTTTCCCAGGCTACTGTTTCAGTTTTTGTCACTTGCTGGTGCTTAGTAATTAATTGTAAAGTTTACTTTTTCTGAGTTCAAATGGTTTCTACCCATTTTTCGGCGAATAACAATAAAATATTAGCGTTTTTGTCAGAATATATGGCTACATTTGAGTGGATATCAATACAAAATTCCGTTTTGAAACTCTAGATCATTGGTCCTTTACTCAAACTGCTTGAATCATGTCATCCTCTATAGGGCGCAGCTGATTGGTTCCTGCCATCAGCAGCCAATGAGCTCACTGCTCGACCTTCAAATACTTAGGCCCCGTCCACACTACTGCGTTTTCGTTTAAAAACGGAGACCTTTTGTACGTTTGCACCTCCCGTCCAGACTAAAACGGGAAAAACGAAGACCTAAAACGGAGAAGTTTAGAAACGCTGCAGCTCCGTTTTGCGTTTTGAATCTCCGGAGGACGTTTTAGTGTAGACGAGACAAAACATAGGACTTCAGAACATAGCTGTCAACCCTCCCGTTTTTTCCGGGTTTCTCACGTATTTTATCTATGTTCCCGCTGTCTTCCCGTTGTAGTATTTTCCCGTAAAATATCCCGTATTTTTACGTTCTGATTGTGTGAGACGTACAAGCTCGGACATATTCGGCTTGAAGTCGTTCATACTGGGATGCAGCGCCGCGCGCGCTGGCCGGAGACACACTGGCTGCGTGCGTCTCAGCTGCATGGCGTGACCGTTTTATTTTACTGTCTATGGTTTTTATTCCGGCTCCCATGTTAACAGATTAGAGCTTGCACACTGTCTGCGTGACACGCGCAAACGCGTGCATGCTAGAAATAGAACCAGATAGATACCTATTTTTCACGCGACACGCAAGCGTGTTGGAAGCGTTTCCAGGCAAATTTCCATTATTTTTGCCTATTTATATTTTCATGTAATTTTTTTTTTAAACAATCGAGTCCGGGTGTCCACTACAGGTCATAGCATAGGAATAAAATATCTTTTTTTTTTCATTTGTTTCTTATGCTCTTAATAATGTAAAAAAAAAAAATCCCTTATTTTGGCGATGGATTCCGGGAAATCTCCCTTATTTTCAATGTTCAATGTTGACAGCTATGCTTCAGAAACGCTGACGCAGGGGCTGACGCTCGGCTCCATGATTGGGTGTTATCAGTCATGACGTATCCGTCCATGATTCGTCAATCAATGTTTACACCGGCACGCGCATGCCCAGTGTTGGTGAATGGTCACGTGATCCGCGTTTTCAGTCGTTTTAGGCAAGGCAAGGCAAGTTTATTTATATAGCACATTTAATACACAATGGCAATTCAAAGTGCTTTACATAGAAGAAATTAAAATAATCAAAAGAAATCAGAATAATTAAAACAGTTTAGAATAAAAAATAAGAAATAATGAAAAATAAAAATTATGATAAAAATAAAATACAGTAAATTAAAACTATTTCGAATAAATGTGGACGGAGATCATTTCTAATACACAGATAAAACGCTGGTGTGGACGGAGATCGTATTCGTTTTAATTCTCCGTTTTTAAACGAAAACGCAGTAGTGTGGACGGGGCCTTAGTCAGCATTTGCCTCAGCAGTGCAATGTGCTTTCAGAAACCCTCCAGCTCCATCTATATAGATCTGCTACGGGTAATTCATGTACGCTATATTGTACAGCAGCAGCATGTCTTACTCATTTACAACATTTTGTTTTGTATATGTATTGGCCATAGCAAGTTCCATACTTGCCCTGCAGCTGCGTTGCAGATCTATTCTGCCAAGACCAAATATATCAACTTTGTCATAACACTCCGAGATTTGTCATGACAGAAAGAGGTTTTTAGGCCACAGTGGTGTAGTTACAGTACCTACCAGCAGGGGCAAACCAGCAAAACCCTGACTGATTGTTTTCATTAGTCTTCTGAAATAGAAAGCGAGAATGAGATCCGCGGTAGCGACTACGGGAAGAGGCAGTCACTTAGTTAATATGGTAATGTTCCCAGTCTATGCACATACCATAACAGGAAGCACTCTAGACGTGCCCCTGATAATGTTATTGGGTAAAATTAAAGCTTGAATTTCTCTCTGGTGTGCTTGCATGCTATCATCATAAGCATTACACTTCTGATTCATCCAGTCTAAATAAGTTCTGGATATTTTAGGAAGGTTTTATTGTTTTTTTCTACTCTTGTTTGCCTGTTTCTGAATTCAATTACATGGGGGAAAGCAATAAACCTGCTTAGTGCATTACACATAATGGCTTTTGGTAAGTCGTCTTCTCTCCAAAAGCATTGTTATGCCTTGGGTTGTGTGTGCAAGCATCTTTGTCAATGTTTAGTGCAATTTGTCAACAATGATTTGAATTGTGCCTTATGGTTAAAAGCCCTTGGACATTTGTATATTCGATCACTCTACAATATCATATTTGATACACAAATTTCTAAAGTCTCTAAATTATCGACATAATCAAAATGCTTTTTATCAAGTAAAAGCTTTTAGTGAAATTGTAAAAACGTCCACTTTTAGATTGTGGAGAGTTTTTGCTGTGAGTTTTTATAAAGTTAACATAAGAATTTGGTCAATCAGGCAATCTCGCAATCGTTGTATTGCATTGCATTACAAGTTTGAAAACTACAGATCATACAACTAAGCTTTTAAATATCATCATATTATTGAGAGATATAGAGTGATGACTGATATTTATATGCATTTTATGTACATATAAACATCTTATTGATTTAAATCACACTCTCAGAAAAAAGGTACGAAAGCGGTCACTGGGGCTGTACCTTTTTAAAAGGTAAACATTTCAGGTGTTAATATGTACATTTCAGGTGCTAATGTGAACATTTCAGGTGCTAATATGTACATTTCAGGTGCTAATATGAACATTTCAGGTGCTAATATCTACATTTCAGGTGCTAATATGAACATTTCAGGTGCTAATATGTACATTTCAGGTGCTAATGTGTACATTTCAGGTGTTAATATGTACATTTCAGGTGCTAATATGAACATTTCAGGTGCTAATATGTACATTTTCAGGTGCTAATATGTACATTTCAGGTGCTAATATGTACATTTCAGGTGCTAATGTGTACATTTCAGGTGCTAATATGAACATTTCAGGTGCTAATATGTACATTTCAGGTGCTAATATGTACATTTCAGGTGCTAATATGTACATTTCAGGTGCTAATATGTACATTTTAGGTGCTAATATATAAATTTAGGTGTTAATATGTAGGCCTACATTTCAGGTGCTAATATGTACACTTCAGGTGCTAATATGTACATTTCAGGTGCTAATATGTACATTTCAGGTGTTAATATGTACATTTCAGTCGCTAATATGTACATTTCAGGTGTTAATATCTACATTTCAGGTGCTATTATGTACATTTCAGGTGTTAATATCTACATTTCAGGTGCTATTATGTACATTTCAGGTGTTAATATGTACATTTCAGGTGCTAATATGTACATTTCAGGTGCTAATATGTACATTTCAGGTGCTAATATCTACATTTCAGGTGCTATTATGTACATTTCAGGTGTTAATATCTACATTTCAGGTGCTAATATACATTTCAGTCGCTAATATGTACATTTCAGGTGTTAATATCTACATTTCAGGTGCTATTATGTACATTTCAGGTGTTAATATCTACATTTCAGGTGCTATTATGTACATTTCAGGTGCTAATATGTACATTTCAGATGCTAATATGTACATTTCAGGTGTTAATATCTACATTTCAGGTGCTAATATGTACATTTTAGTTGCTAATATATAAATTTTAGGTGTTAATATGTAGGCCTACATTTCAGGTGCTAATATGTACACTTCAGGTGCTAATATGTACATTTCAGGTGTTAATATGTACATTTCAGGTGTTAATATACATTTCAGGTGTTAATATCTACATTTCAGGTGCTAATATGTACATTTCAGGTGTTAATATCTACATTTCAGGTGCTAATATGTACATTTTAGGTGTTAATATGTACATTTTAGGTGCTAATATATACATTTTAGGTGTTAATATGAACATTTCAGGTGCTAATATGTACATTTTAGGTGTTAATATGTGCATTTCAGGTGCTAATATGTACATTTCAGGTACATTAAGGTACCAATATCCTTTAGGTAAAAAAGTGTACCTTTTGAAAATGTACAACCCCAGTGACAGCTTTTGTACCTTTTTTTTCCTGAGAGTTCATATGCTATAATTTCATTTACTTTTTGGTCATATAATACATCTGCACCAGATTGCATTCTTTGCGTATTTTGGGCCTCTGAATAAAATTGATGTTTGAGCTTCATATTCTCACTATATCATGCTATATGAGTCATAAACACCTGATGTTTCAAATATGACATTTAACCAAACAAAAAACATATACAAACTTATATAATTAGGATATTTATATACATGCATAAAGTTATATTGCTAAAAACATTTTTTCTCTTCACCTTTGCAGGCATACAGTCCTTCTGCCACAATGTTTAAGAACAGCTTGAAAATGCTTCTGACGGGGGGGAAATCCAACAGGAAGAGCCGAAACAGCAGCGGTCAGTCTGAACTTTCTTGTCTAACCACTAAGATATCATCTAAATATGACTGCATACTTGTCTTTTTAAAGTGCTATTTTTTAAACCGCATAAAGCAGGATGTTTTAATAATCATTGCAAACTTCATTGTAAGTCAGTACCGAGTGCAGCCGCCCTGAGCCGGTATTACACAAGCATCAAGCCTAAAGCCTTGATTATCCATCATGCCTCAGTGTTGGAACTCATTTCTCTCTGGGATACTGGGATGTTCTGCCAATATATGGGTTTCCATATGCTTCCCGATATAACTGACAAATCTGCTGCAGGCCGAGCATGAGGCATGTAATCTCGGCATCAGACGGCACGTCCACATGCTATTCGCTGACCGTCTGATACTCAACACTTCAAAGGATCTAGTCTGATTACCAGACAGCAATGCAATGCCAGGCGCACGTCTCAGCAGTTTGCCTGACAAAAAACCTGTTTTTAACTGGTGAGGAAAACGAATAAGTGCATTTGCCAGGTTAAGGGCTTCAAAATTCATAGATATTCAGAGATTGCGTGCAAACTAGATTTTCTCAAGCAGAACCAATATTTATGATCACACAAAGATCAACTCTACATACTATTAGTGTACCATTTAAACAATTTCAGATTTAAATGTTGAAGATAAAGAAATGGAAAAACATCTGGAAATATCTCCTTATGTGGTTTTGTAAAACATTTGTTGTTTTTAACTAAAAACTATTGTCATGTGGTGTAACCAGGTAAAAGTAATAACCTTTCATACACAAATTAGTGTATCTCATCTTAATCATTATTTTCACATTTTTTTTGTTTTACAAATATCAACAATTATTAGTTCATGAATATTACATTATTTAGGGCGTTGTACCATATGGCATTTTATAACCTCGTAAAATTATGTTTCTATGGCAAATACGTGTTGTATTTACTTTCAAACCTTGCGTTATTAAAGGAGTAGTTCACTTTATTTACTCACCACCATGTCATCCAAGATTTCCATGTCTGTCTTTCTTCAGTTGAAAAGAAATTAAGGTTTTTGATGAAAACATTCCAGGATTTTTCTCCATATAATGGACTTCAATGGGAACCAAACGGTTCGAGATCCAAAAGACCGTTTCAGTGCAAACAACAAACTGTTCAAATGGCTTTAAATGACACCAAATGATGAATAAGGGTCTTATCAAGCGAAACGAACGCTCATTTAAAAAATAAATAACAAAGTTTAAGTTTTATAAGCTCAAATACTCGCCTTGCTCTGTTCTGTGATGCGCGTTGGTGACTCCTGTTCAAACTCGTTCATCAAAATGAACAAATCTTTTTCCGAGTCGTTTGGTTCATTCAACGAACGAAACAAACGAATTGACTCGTTCATTTTGATGATCCAATGTACATCAGTAATTATTGGCTTCTTAAATAAGCCTTGAGAATGAGACATTAATTAAGTGCAAAGAAACAAAAAGAACAGTGATTCGTAAAATCCTTTTCTGCTGTCATATTTACTCCAAGATCCCTGTGTAATTACAGCACAGCCTAAACCTCAGTCACCATCACACGGCCGCTCTAATAGACGTGTTCTCCCACTGGAGCTGGTTTAGTTGGATGTGATCTCATTAACCACTGGTTCCAGAGATCAAGCAACCAGTTCAAATGATACATTGATGTTTGAAGCCTTTTGCCACTGGAATTGAGTAATAGTCAATTAGCATGTGCAAAATCCCTGCTTTTACATAAAAATACCAAACCATGCATGTAGGGCCATATGATTTCCATGATGCAGAAACCATTGATATCTTAAAAGTCCTAAAAATGCATTTTCCTGTACAATGCGGAATGGCACAGAATTTGAACCTATCGTCAGATACACACAGAAACTCAAATCTCTTCGCATAAAAGTTTGGTGCATATTTTGGTCATATTTCGGGAGTTAATTAGCTTCTACATGGCGTTTTTCACTCCCATAAATGACCGTACTGTGTTGTTACAGAATGGGATTAAGCAGTCAAAGTGAATTTAGCTGCAGTGTGTTCGTGGCCTATACTGTATATCCATCTGCGAGACCCACATAATGTTTCTCTGCTGATTATTTATCAGCAGAAGTAGCATGAATACTTCACGGTCTCCCTCTGCTTGTTTAGTGGCCTTGACCCTATATAATGATGATGTTCAGCTATTGAAATGTCAAACATTTCCGCGTACAGTATTCCCATCTATCCTTGTGCACTCACTCTCTCTCTCTCTCTCTCTCTCTCTCTCTCTCTCTCTCTCTCTCTCTCTCTCTCTCTCTCTCTCTCTCTCTCTCTCTCTCTCTCTCTCTCTCTCTCTCTCAATTACCTCTTTCTCTTTGTTTCACATTGCATTACACCTTCATGTGTATATTTTTTGTTCATTGTATGATGAATAGGTGCACATGTGTAATTATGAGATGAGGGCAGATCTTTGTCGATGAGTGCAGGAATGAACGAACACCATTCATTTCAGGTGGAAATCACATTCCTCATGGTTTTCATGCGTTATATTTGTTGATGTTGGTGCTTGGATATATTTGATTTCATCTATTTAACCTGTTTGAGGAGATTTTTTATATTTGTGCCTACAGTATATGTGTGGTATATAGCTTTAATCTAAACTACAAATTGATAAAATAACCTAAATCAATAATCAATGTCGATGTATGTGTTAATTTGACATGTAGCTCTGTTGCAGTCAGCCAGTCATTAGGGTGAAACAAGACACTGATCACTAGGGTGGGGTATCGTTTGAATTTGAACGATTCTGATTCCGATTCCTTGTTTCGATTCCGGTTCCTAACGATTCTCGATTCCGATTCTTTTAAGAGGCAGGGTCAAAAAAGTTTAGCTAACCTTGCTAACCAACGGTCTTTCTGAAGGAAATACTCCTTCTGTCACAAATACTCCTTTTGTCACAAATTTTGCATTTTGCCGAGATTTCGTTATTTTTAGAAAAGTGAAGCCACACTTTGGACCGCCGACGTAAGGTACTCATGTTCGACTCGCGCGGTTATGCCAATACTTCCGGTAGACGCTTCTTCGTTGGTGTTGTTCAGCGGTTTCTTCTTCCGCTCAGCGGACTGTGAATATCGAAACTAGGAATCGAAATTTTAACTTTTGAACGATTCCGGGAAAAACGAAAAGTTAGTCCCGATTCCAATCGATACTCGATTCTCGATACCCAACCCTACTGATCACGCTGTCCGTGTTTATTTTACAATAATGACCATCAGCCCGTACGCTATCCCTTACGTACAGTATATACGTGTACAGGTTTGTGTACAAATTTTGTCTAGTGTTTTCTGAGTCAGTGTCGGCCGCATTGACGATGCTGACTCTACATCTCTGCAGAATAGATGCTCCTATTGTTAATTTAAATATATCAGGCAGTAAACACTACTTATTTGGCTTTTACACTCCGCACAAACACTTGGATATGCGCCTAATAATATAGTGCACAGTTATCTAGGTTAATATTGGAGCGAGTAGCCATGTAAAAGTGGCTAATGTTAGGTTAAAAGTAAAGGTGAAACGATACACAGAAGTCACGGTTCGGTACGTACCTCGGTTTTGGGGTCACTGTTCGATATGAGTTCTGTACAACAGGAAAAAGCAACAAATCCCCAATGCTAGGTTTCTTTTCATTTATTTTGAACTGCAAATTACAGTTTGTTCCAACTAGCGGTGTTTAGTCCCCTGAGGTTGTTGCTACAGAACAGCCTTTAGTGTGTTAAGCACTAAGCTGTAATGTTCAATAGGTCACAATAACAAATGATTTTGTCTCATTATAACAGCGGAAACAACTTAAAATACTCCATCAATTGTGGTCATACAGATAAGAGTAAGACATCATTGGATACTCTCACAATAAAAACTAAACACGTGCAGAATGTGCACACTTGCTTCAGTCAAATTTTTTGTCGGGATGATTAAAAACAAAAGTTATTTGGTCACAATCAGCTAAATAAAACTGAAAAGCATCTTTTATGTTTTGTGTCTTTACAAAATACAGTCCTTCTAGAAAAACACAGTTTTTTTTTGTCATTGTTCCAGGCAAAAATCCTTGATTATGCGGCCCGTTGTCTTTAAAAATGCAATGGAATATGCAGGATATTTATGCAATTTTATGTGACGAAATTGCGGGAACTTGCAGAAACTGCGGTTTGATGAAAAAAAAAAGTGATTCCCCAATACCCTGTTCTCGCTAGGCTACTACCTTAATGTAAAGAGTCATTTCTTTTTACTTCCTACCTACGATAAGCAAGCATATACATCACAGAAAGTGCTGGAATAGTTCTCATCTTGTTTAATTTTAGACCTTAATAAACACATCAAACTTACCAAACTATGTAGCTTTACAAAAGGAATATGCTATAACTTCAGTAAAAATTATGATAAATAAAATATGAAATATAAAAAAAAAAGTGTGCTCCTGTTTTACAGCTTTTCGATGATGTTCTCGTCACGCAATTTCGTCACTTCATAACGTTTCCATGGCAACAGGGGAAAATGAAATTTCCGAGGATTATGAAATTATTTATTTATGTATTTATGTATTTCAGAAGCGAAGCGACTAGATGCGTGAGGCCATGTGATTTGCTTGTCCGATGTGTTTTCATCTTCCTTACAGTTTATGATTTCTACCAATGATATATTGGTGTGCAAAACAATTGGGAGTCCTTACAGGGTGTTTATTTAAAAAATGTTTTTTTTTTACTTTTATTTTGTATTTACGGACGCGGCGTATAGACTTAGCACCTATCTTTAGTGAAGCAGTGCGGAGAGCCGCTTCTGGGATGCTTCTGAAATGCATTAGCACCTCATACATGAGATTCAGGCGGCGGAGTTGAATCCAGATCTAAGGGATGGAGATGGGTAGGATTAGGGGTGGGGTTAGGGATCAGGGGGTGTGGATGGGTAGGATTAGGGGTGGGGTTAGGGATCAGGGGGTGTGGATGGGTAGGATTAGGGGTGGGGTTAGGGATC